TCAGCTGTGAAGTCCATGAAGAAGCATTATCCTTTTCTGTCTCTCAGGGCAGCTTAACTGGCAAGGCTGCTACAGTCGTTGGATATGCCCATTATGCAGATGTGAACACAATTAGGGACCACAGCAGCAGTGGGACAGTCCCCACCGCCCAACCCTCGGGTGGCCCAAAAATCCAGACAGCTGTGCCAATGATCCTGACCAACCAGCCAGCTCAACCAGTTTTCATCTCCAGTAGAAGCAGGTCCGCTGCAAAAGCAAAGGCATTCCAATGGCCCTTGCTTTTAAAAAAATCCCCAAACACCGTGCATCACACCCGTTGTTCTGTGCCTCAGGAAAGCTCTCCAGGTTGTCCTCTCCATGACAGCCCGGCAGCACCCCAACAGCGGGCCATGTATTTCTCCTGGGAAAATGCATCCCCCCTCCACCCAGCCACTTGCCAAGATGGCACCTAAGCTCAAAAAGTGCAGGGAGCGCGGACCTCAAAGCCCTGGCTGGGAGCCCAGGCTTGCTATACTTCTCCCTGAAGGGGCTGCAGCCGGCAGCTGGGCTGAAGATATGCATGTAAAACAGTGGACAATCACATGTTGGGGATTCCGTGAGCAGAGCCAGCTGGAGCGAGGGGTCAGACTAGATGGCCCAGGAAGCCCCTTCTGGCTTGCTCTGTTTCTCTGTTTCTAAAAGGCCCCAGCACCAAGTCCTGCACACACAGGCAGAGAAGAGAATGCCTCCCAGGTGAAAACTTGGAGCACCACTTCCAGGCAGTGCAGGCAGAAGATGATGGATATGTTGCTCTATCTGGAGGGCATCAAGCTAGGAGACAACAGCTACACACAGTCCAGAGACCAGCTGGCAGATACAGGTAGTTTCCTATACATCTGCTTGGGCTTTCTGCGTGAACAGTAACTACCACAGCTACAGAGCCACCTTCCTAGGAGGAAAGGATCAGGGAGCTATTCCCTCAGGGTGGAGATCCCCACCCGTCTTCACCCCTGGGAATTTGAGACACAGCTATGGGCTTCCACAAAACGCCCAATCCATGGATACTTGGGTATCTACTAGTCCAGTTCACAGATCTGAGGGTGCATTTCATTCAGCAAAAGCTTTTGTTCCATGTCCGTTCGATCGGGGAGAGCCGGGTTCCAGTCCCTACTCAGCCTTGAAACCTCACTTGGTGACTACGGGCCAATCACCCACTCTCAGCTGAATCCACCTCACAAGGAGGTTGTTGCGAGTTTAAAATGGAATGGAGCAGGATGGTGTAAGCCACCTTCAGTTGCTTGCAAGAGTAAAAAGGCAGGATATAAATTCCATGTGAAAATAATTTAAGAAGGGACTAATTCAGCCAATTGCTGGTAGCGCATGCTACTTTGAAATGTGTGTTGTTGATGTCCAATTGCGCCTTCTTTTTGGAAGGATACCACAGGTAAGTTTTGTGCTGGAACAGTCTTCAATATTCAGGGATGCGCCCGCTCCTTCCCTGCTTCATGGGAGCTGACAAATGGAAGGGGAGGTGGATTCTCTGCTCCCTTTTGACAGCTAGAGACTGAACTGGATGAATATGCTTCAGTGCTATGGATTGAGGGCCTCGTAACACTTTTGATTTATGAATAAGTGGCACATAGGATGCCAGCGTCAAATGACATACTTACTTGAATCCTTGGCTTGCTTTGATTGAAGCCTAGGGATAACTGCTAGAAAGCTCTGTGCATTTTATGCAAGTCCATGCAGGTTTGGCAAGGGGAGGGAGTAAAAGAATATTTTGGGTACTCCCAGGCGTGGACCTGGATGTCACGAGGATGCGGATAATTATTATGAATGTCAGGCAACTGTTTTCCCCAGCCTAGATGTAATAAGCTACAGTTCCCATCATCCTCCACCATGCTGGCTAGGCATGATGGAGCTGTAGTCCGGCACATCTGGGGAGCCCCAGAAGGGAGAAGGTTAGCCTACAGGGAGGAGAAAAAAGTCAGCCTTCCTCATAACAGAGCGTGGGGTCACCTAGGCCAAAGATGCATGGGTGCCCTGAGGGGGGGTGCAGATCCTGAGGCCCACAACCATATCCAGGCCACTCTGAGTCCCCATATGGGCTCCCCAGAGAGGCCCCCAGGCATGTGAGGGTCTCCTGGCTTTTGGATATTTCTCCCCATTCTAAAAATGCTTGTCATAAGAGTTGCTTGGTGGCACTAAAAGCTTTATGCTAAATGCTCTTGGTACGCCGGCCCTGCCATGGACTCTTCAGCCCCAAGCACCCCCGAAAGGCAGCCCCCGAGCCTCACCCTGAAATAGAATTGAGGTGGGTTCAACACCCCTGATATGGGATACAGTGGAGGCCACCTGGTGAGACAAATTATAGAAGGTAGGCTTTCTGATGGCCATTGACCTTTACAGCTAAATGGAACCCCCTGATCAGATGCAGTCTACCTTGCAACACCACAAGCTGCAGCAAGCCAAGGAGATCCTCACCAGTGCCCATACTATGAATCTGAGAGGCATCTTTTTGGCTAGGTGCTGCCGGAAACAGAACACTGGGCTAATCCAACAAGTCCAGTCTTGTGGCTCATTTCTGACCACGGTCCACAAGTTCCCTTTGTCAAAGATTATGTTATGCAAGTGGAGGTTCAGAAACACATACATGGCAACTTTGGGGTTAACCCCCACTTACAGGTATCTCCCAAATGGACCCACAACCCCCTTGCTTTATGCTAATATTCCATTTATCCTAGGATATGAATGCCACCTTTACCGAGTTCCTCTTTAAAGCACAATAGCTGGTGTCACACACACAGTTCCTCCCTTTAAGTGTCCGCCTGGCCCAACCAAGTACCTGGCAGATGTGTTGGACTGCAACCCTCATCAGCCCCATCAGCATGTCCAATTGCTACAGTGCAGAAGCTGGCAACATTCAGGGGGCTAAGAGCCAATCTTCCTCTCCCCCATGGAAGCCCCACACCCCCCTGCCAAAAACACTGTCGCCACATCTGGCACTGGTGATGCGGGGTCATGTTTCTGACCCTTGCCGTGCTTGCTGGGAATGATGTGACTTGCGATCCAACACATCAGGCAGGCACAAGGCCAGGGGAGCCTGCTTAGGCAAGCAATGGCTCATTTACCACTGCAGAACCCAAATGTTTCTCAGATTGTTCTCTGCAGAAAGTGTTGTGCTTTCTAGGAATGACCTAATTCCAGGCAAAAGTGTTTTTATTTAAGTTCTTGATGTAAATAAATGAAGTGGAATCCTAACCATTGTTTGCTGTGTTTTCACTTATCCCTGTGCACAAAAATAACAACCTGGGTGATGCAAAGGGCATCCATTGGATTGGCTTTGCCTGTTTCAAGGCAACTGATTTTGCTGCACATAACTATGGGGTCTTACCCTTCCACCAGAGAAGAGGCAGCCAGAGATAAAAAAGCGAGCAAACCAATCAATCAGTGCATAACAGCCATGGGTTGCAGGGCCTTCTCCAGGCCGGTGCTATGCTGGCTAAGGCATGCTGGGACTACATGTCTGGAAAGCCCAGGCGGGGGAGGCTGCCTTTCAGCCACTATTTCCAGACCCTTTTGCTCTGTCCTTTGGGCAGCCAAGCCCACAGGTTCGCTCAGCCTAGTCTTAGCCATCCATCCTCCCAACCTTGCCCTGGTGTCCATGCACAATCCCTAGGTGAATGTATAATGAACACTCGCCTCCATTTCTGGAGGCCCACAGAGATGAAGAGGCTGAAATTCAACAGCAGGAGGGAGGGCCCCGGTGATGGGGGGCTGGATTAGATCAACCCCAGACCCTCGAACGCCCTACAGCAATTTGATTCCATAGATCTTTGGGCTGCTGCATCGGCAGCATCCTGCAGAAGCTTGTTTCCAAGTGCATCACGTATTCTAAAATTCAAAGGTGGGTGTAAATCAATCTGCTTCAACTCTCCCCACTTCGAATGCGATCAGACGGATAAGAGGCAGCAGGGTAGAGATGCTCTCCTTCGAAGGAGGAAAAGAGGTCAGCATGGAGGCATGAGCCCAGCTCATTTCGCTGCAATTAAATTACCCATTTCAACCTGGCCGTCATTTCAGAGCGAGCAGGTGACAACCTCGAGGTTTCTCCCAGGAGGGGCGCTTCGACTTTGTCTATGGGGTCACCAGTGCTCCAGGAAAGCTCACGGGGGACCTGCTATTGTTCTCCAGTGTTCTCATGCTGGAAACCGCTCTGGATTGTTGCTCTGGCATTTCCCTAAGGACGCCGGTAAGCTAGGAGGCAACGCAGGTTGCATTCTGCCATGAAGTACAGTCCTGCTGATCTTTTTTGGGGGGAGGCGGGGGGAGATGGCGAGAGAAACAGCCAGAACCCCATAGGGACGCTTCTGCAACAAGAATGCAGGTTACAAAGGGAAGAGTCGATGGCAGTTGCTGCTCCAGATCTGGGAGCATTTCTGGCCAAGGCAGTTTCGCCCTGATTTGTCACGCCCTTCTTCCCCTCGTACCGAACAGGATCCCCTCCCCACTTTTCCCCGAGAGGCTTCGACGCTGCAAAGAGCCCAATCTGCAGCCCCCGCCCGCGCCCACCTCTTTATGCTACCCGGGCACAGCACGCTACTAGCCACAATAGAGGCAAGGGGGAGGGGCGGGACCCGCAGGCCCGCAGCCCCTCGCCAAACGCGCGCTGCCGCACCTGGGCGTTTTTGTTTGCCTTCTTCCCTGCAATAGACGCAGCCTGCATATGCGAGGCCCGGCCGCATCCAGCCGTCTCTGGCCCGGCGGCGGCGCAGGATCACACGCAACGCTGCGGACGGCCCAACCCACACCAGTATGGCAGGGAGCGCCCCGAATTCAGGCGCCCCTGCCCGACGCCCCGGGACGTGAGGAGAATAACCAGTCGCGGCAGCATGGGCGCAGGGCTGGCACAAAGGGCTGAGCGGGCGGCCGAGGCCAGCCGCGGGGCGCGGAGGGAGAGCCAGCCTCCGGCCGTGCGGGAAGGGAGGACGCCGGGCGGCGGCGGCGGCGATGCTACCTACCTCTCCCGCTCAGGACGGCGACGGCGACGGCGAGGAGGAGCGCGAGGCGGCGGCCGCGGCGGCCGGGCTGCTCGGCCATCTCGGAGGCGAGCGAGGCGAGGCGAGGCGAGGCGAGGCAGGGACGCCAGGGAGGGAAGGAGGGAGGCAGGGAGGGAGGCGGCTTCGGATGCGCAGCGCGCGCTCCTGCCCGCTTCCCGGCGGCGGCGGCGGCGGCACGGGCACGGGCACGGGCACGGGCACGGGCACTCTCCGCGCTCGCAGCGGCTCTCCTGCCTCCGCCGAAGAGCGACGAGCGGCGCCGGCAGCGGCAGAGGCGGCGGCGGCGGCGGCGCGGGGGAGGAGCGCGCCGAGGACGCGTGCGGAGCGGAGGGGCGGGCGGACGGGCGCGCACGAGGCGCCCCAAGGCGAGCGCGGCGTGGAGGAGGCGGGGACGGGGAGGGACGGGGGGAGGCGGGGGCCGGGGCCGCGGCCGGGGCGGGGGCGGGGGCGGGGGAGAGCCAGGCGCCGCGGCCCGGGCGCCAGGGACGCCCGAGGGCGGAGAGCGCCGCGCCGCGGGCCCCCGAGCAGGCAGCCTTCCGGCGCAGGGAGGAGCGCCGGCCACGCGTCCGGCGGGCCGGGCGGCTGGGGAGAGGGGCCCTGCGGCGAGCCGGGGGAGCCGCCTGCAGCTCTGCGCCCCGGCGTTCCCCCGCGCCCCCGCGGGATGCACTAGATAACGGTACATTTTTCTTGGTTTTTCTTCCTTCCTTCCGAACCCGGCCGGCCGGGCGTGCGTCCTTGCTTTCTTCATTCCTTCCGAGAAACGGTAACGAAATGCGAGAGGCAGAATAAGGACACTTGGAGCAAGGACGCCCGCCCGGGCTCGCGGGAGCGGTGGGTGCTTGGGGCACACCTAAGCGCACTCCAAGACACACATCTGGGACCCAGTGTGGCCTAGTGGTTGGAGTGTAGCACTGGGGACTTGGGAGACCCAGGCTCTAGACCCCATTTCAACCCCGAAGCTGGCTAGCCCCACACCTACCTCAAAGGGGTGTGGTGAGGATAAAAATGGAGTGAAGGAGAGCCGTGTCAGCTGCCTTATACCTTCGCAAAAGAAGAACAATGCTCGGTACAAATATAACACAATGATAATAATAATAGCATACATTTTCTGTCTCTCAGGTATGTTTAGATGTCCTCTCCCATCAGCTGCAGGGGGACAGACTCTGTACATTTGTATGGCTAGTGATTTCCCATCTGTGACATCAGAGTCAGAGGCCCAAACGTCACGTCTGTTTAAATTGTGATTTCTTTTGGCAGGAGGGGAGTTCCTGATTGTCCCTGGGAGCTGGGAAGGGGCTCAGTCCTTCCCTACCCTGACATTTCCACCAAGAAACTCAAGGGTCTCTTTCAAAGCGGCTGTTTGCTCTCATAATTTCTTACATGCACAGCTCGTGACCAGAGTTTGGGAAATGGACAGATGAAACCATTAACTTCCCCTTCTGAGGTGCTGCAATCCCTGATCTGGATCAATCCTTCTCTCCAGCTGTGACTTGCTGCAATTTAAAGGTATATGAGATGTAGGCACAGTCCACTGTTGTATCGGCGCATTTGTCCCAAATGAATCACCAGTGGCCAGAAGGTCAGTGGGTAAGCCAAGTCAAGCCATTGGCCCATTGAGCTGTTTGGGTACTCCAACTGGAAGCTGCTCCAGGCAGAGCTTTTTCCTGCCCCGTTGCATTCTTGTGCTCTGCTACGGCCTTTCCAGCTATTTCTAGCCCCTGCAAGTACCCCGTATTGTTGGGGTTCCTTTAAAGTACAGCAGCTCATCAGTCTAAGAGTAAGACCATGTTGGAGTTAATCTTGTCCAGCCCCCTTCAGGATGCAACTGCAGCATCGCAAACAGATGGCTATCCAAGCTTTTCCAAAGGACTTCTGCAAAGGAGCGCCCACCGCTTGTCAAGGCTGCTGTGCCATTGTCGGAGCAGTGCTGGCCCTAAGAGGATTCTTGCGACGTTTAGCTGAGATGTGCTTCCTGGCCATTTCCACCTGCTTGGTCCACTCCTGCCCTCTGGCGCAATAGAGAGCAAGTCTGTCCCTTCTGTGTGGCTCCCCTTCCCATCTCTGCACAGAGTCATCATTTTGCATAAGAAACCGGGTCACTCTGAGTAAGACATTGGGTTCAGACAACACGAGAATCCATACTCAACCACTGCTGTCTAAACCTAGCCAAGATGAGCCAGCTAAGATGATAAGCCACAGCTCATTAACAGCCCATGAAGAGCACCTACAGAATAAGAGGGGTAGTCCTTTTTGAGATCAGCAACTGGTTAAAGAACAGAAAGTAGGAAATGAATACTAATTTCTTGCAATAGAGGGATGTAACAAGCAGGGTCCCACAGTGCTTTTCAGCTTATTCCTAAATTATCTGGAATTAGGAATAAGCACTGAAGTGGCCACATTTCCTGATGACACCAAACTATGTAGGAACCTTTTTGGCTTTTGTAAAACCAAAAAGGATTGTGAGGAGCTGCAAAGGGACCTCTCCAAGTTGAGAGAATGGGCATCAAAATGACAAATACAATTCAGTACAAAACTGCCAGGATTGTCCTCCTGCTGTACAAATCTTTGGTGAACCTGCAGTTGGAATATTGTGTGCCATGCTTGGCAGAGCCCCTGAAAAAGGAGATTTCTAAATGAGAAAAAGGCAACCGAGATGGTCAAGAAGCTGGAGCAACTGCTTAGCTTAGAAAAAGGGTGTGTGAGGAGAGACATGACAGAGGTCCTCCTGAATCCTGCATGCTGCGGAGAAAGTGGACAGTCCTCTCACTCTCCCAAACAGGAAGTCATTCCATGAAACTCATGGGTAATTGGGTATTCAGGATAGGGAAAAAGGCAACCCCACCACAGAGTTTCAGCCTGATTTGGCTGGCTTTAAAAGGGGATTGGGCACACCTACTGGGGAAAAGGCCATCAATGGCTACTGATTTTGATGGCTATATGCCACCTCCAGTGGTGGTGGTGGTGGGGGGGGGGAATGGAGGGATCCTGTGGACAGCAGATTTGCCAACATGTGGGCAAGTGCTGGATTGGATGGATCACTGGTCTGACCCAGCATGGCTTTTCTTACATTCTTACACTGCTCACTGTGGTTTACTATCTCAGCTGGGTTCACAAAACACAATAACCCATGGTTCAGTGGCGACCCACACTCAGCCCTTGATGTGGGTTTTTCTGGGTGCATCTAGCCCTCTACTGTTGCTACGAATTGATGGTGGGTTTGCAGAATTTCAAGGAAGAGCTTCCCCTGGGGAGGTTGGGGATGGAGCGTAGACCTTCTGCATGCACAGCAGGGGCTCTACCACTGAGCTAAGGCTCTTCTCTCCCAGGATAAAAACGCACCATTCCATCAGCCTTTGGACACAGGACTTGGTTTCCAGACCCTGCCCCACCCTGATTGCCTCTGGACATGCTTCAGTTTGTCTACATCCTTCAAATGTGCTCAGAACCGGACATGGGCACATGCAATTTAATTGCAACTGATCTTGCAATTAAATATATGCAGAGATATATACAGATAAAATGTGTGTGAGTCTTGATAGAACTGGGGGGCAGGCAGAATGACATCCTGTGTACCATTATTTTATGTGCATGAGGGGTATTGCTGTCTGCCACTAATTTATTGCAATAATTTTAAGCTGTTTCAAATTTGCCTTCAGTATCACATGAAACCATATTTTAGCAAGGTTACTATACAAGCACATTACCTTATCACCATAAACAAAGCATGTAGGGGACAATGGCCATATAATCCAATTTAAAACAGGCAGGAAAAGTTGATTTATTACACAGAGAGAAAACTAATTGCAGTATTTCTTTATTAACTGTAAGTAGATCAATACATAGTAAAATCTCAAAACTTAATGCCTTTTCATATATTTGAGGGCTATTGCAAGGCATCTCATGAACTTCTTTTACAATTAGCATGCATGCTTGCCAAAACTGAAATCACTTAGTTTGTCAGCTGTTAAAATGGATCAATGTGCTAGTATGAGCCAAGTATGGACTTTCATGCACCCTAAAGACCTGCCATGCTAAGTTCATTGGCAACATGAATGCAGAACCCCAAGAAACATTTTGTTTGCAAATTGCAGGTTTTCTGAGGAGAGAACGAGATGAAACTTGAGGCTGATATTCTTGCCATTCTTTCTTTTAATCAAAGAAACTATTGCAGGAAGAGGTGTTTTCAAAGAAAGCCACATCTGGGGGAGGGCTGATGGGGTATGAGGCGAGACTGAGGGACCTGGGTCTCTTCAGCCTGGAGAAGAGGAGACTCAGAGGGGATCTGTTGGCGACATGCAGGTATGTGAGGGGATGCCACATGGAGATGGGTGGAGACCTGTTCTCCCCTGCAGAGGAAGACAGGACATGCTGCAACGGAGCAAAGCTCAGGGAGCCAAGGTTCCATTTGGATGCCAGGAAGCACTTCCTGACAGTCAGGACCCCAAGGGTGTGGCATGGGCTTCCACGAGAGGTCACTGAGGCCCCATCGGTGAGGGTGTTCAAGGATAGGCTGGACGTCCACATAGTGGGCATGTCATGAGCGGAGTCGGCTGGTGCCGGAGGTCAGACTAGATGGCCCGGGAGGCCCCTTCTGACTCGCTCTGTTTCTGTGTTTCTATGTTAACCCTTTTCTCTCTCACTACTGCCCCGCTGCACACACAGCAGTTCCTTGAGAGATAAGAGAACTACATCTGGCAGGAAGCAGATGATGTCTCATGTCATTCATGAAGGGCTGGGTGAGATGTCGTCTGCCTCCCCCATCTAACCCAACCCATTTTCCCACCCCTGAGTAGGTAGAGAGCCCAACTCGGCATTTGGCCTGGATTTTAACCTGGGCTGGAGAAAAAATGTAGGGACTTGAACAACCTGCCCCTCTTTTTTATGTCGGGGCTTCCAGACCTCTGAAGTTCTCCGTGCCTGAGTCTGAAGAAGGTCTCCAGTGTCCCCATCTGTAAATCAAAGACAAGCTTCAGGAACTGCCAAACGCTGCCCGTCAGCCATGCATGGTGGCCACCAGGGCGTCCATAAGTGTCCAGATTGTGCTGCTTTTTGGAGGCTGTAGAACTGTGTGTGTGTGGAGGAACAGTTCCTTGCATATGGCTGTTGGGCTGCAGTTGGCGAAGTTGTGCAGGCCAGCCTGCTGAGGTGAGAGCTAGATTCAGGGAGGAGCCCTTGAAGACGTCTTCTGTAGCCAATCAGATTCAGCCCTGTCTTCTCTGCAAGTCACACTACCCCGAGGTTGTTCCA